AGGGGAGCTCCGTGCAGAGCGTGGCTCTCCTTTCCTGGGCTCTGAACTGAGACAGGCTCTGTCCCTCGGCAGCGCAGAGAAGAGGGGTCTTGCTTTAGGCTGAGGTATCTCCACTGGAGGAGATCCCAATGGTAAAATGCCAGGCTAGGGTTTAACTCGTTTGCCGATTTGAAGGGGAGAGCACCACCTGCTGATACATCACCACGGCTTTTCTTTTGCTCTGGCCCGCTCCTCACTGTGTTCTGCATCTCTCTGTGAAGGAAGGGCACGCTGAATCCACACGTCAGGTGTGAAAATGCCCTCCCTGCACAGGCAGAGCCTTGATGGGCTGAAACGGCTCCTGACAGGCAGCGCTGCCAGGGAGGAGAGCATGCCCCTGGCTCAGCCTCAGGGTAAAGACGGGCCCTACACAGGGAATGGTTTTCCTCCAAAGGCCCTTTTGGACATCCAGCGTATCGGGTGGATCAGTGCCTGGCCCGTCTTCCAAAGCCTGTTGTTGGTGTCTGGTTCCTTGGCTCTGTCCGAGGGTCCTGCCCAGCAGGGAAGGGCTGAGTGATCAGTCTGTGCCCATCCGCTGCTTGCTCGAAGGCTGGTTGCAGAAATCGAGCTGGGTGATGAGGAAACATCTCTGATAGCTTGTGTGGGTGCAACCTGTGAGATAGACTCTTTAAGCAGAACATAAGGAGATTTTGGATGGGATGACAGCTTTTATTGTTGCTTGCTGTACCTTCACTAGAAGAAAAACAAACCTTGGCTTCAGAGGAGATTTGTCACAGAATTATCTGCCAGTTTCCCCCCCCCACTGAAGCCCAACAGACTAAAAGGCTGGTAATTGCTCTCTGTAGCCCAGCAACAAGGGCAATAGTTGCTGGAAGCAGTCTGTGCAGATAGCAGAACATGTTGTTCCACCCCATAAGAAGCATGTGCTCTGCTTGAAAACCTGCTGGCCTCTGGCCCTTGGAGAATAACAACTGGGCTAGCGGGTTCTTGCTGGAGGATTTTTTTGCCCGGTATGCACATGTCAGCGCAATTAGAAGCAAGAATTCCGGAGCGTGGGATGGACAACGGTGCTTAAGGGAGCACCATAAATAGGTTGAAGGGTTTTGTTTCATGGAGAATTAACACGAGTGGTTAGGTTGATTTGTGGTAATGAGCCGCTACTGCTCAGCCCTCCTGTGGGAAGAAGGGGAATTGCCTAAGATTGGCAAAGGGGCCAAACTTGGAGGGGTTTTTTTCTCCATGGCCTCGCCCAGAGCCTTCGCATTTGTACAACAAGGGTAATTGAGACTATCAAATGAGGTTCGCCCTTCCTAATGTCAGGGTTGGCTCTGCAGAGCTCAGGCAAGTCATTTCATAAACTGATCCATCTCTTTCCTTGTCCTGTTTCTGTAGACACTTGTATCCCGAGTCTGGCACCACAAGGCAGTAATAATGTAGATCCCAGCCTATGGGCCAAGGAAACTCCCAGAAAGCCTGAAGCGAGGTAGTTCCCGTGTTCAGGTTGCCTGAGACCTGAAAACAAGACAGAGTGGAGCTGTGATTGGGGTAGCAGGGGAGGAAACACGAACCGCATCAGCCCTTGGGTGGCTCCAGCGGGTACACTCCTCCCTGCCCGCAACCCAGCCCTGTGCTTGTGCGTGCCCCGCTGAAATGCACCCTGCTATTTATTTGCCCTCACGCTCTTCCCCTTGCCCCGCGCTGCCTCGGCTAATGAGGTTATTGTTTAGGCAGAGAGAGGCATCCGCTCGTGTTTGCGCCTGGCTGCAGGGTGGTTCCAAGCAGAGATCCTCCTGACAGCGCCAGATGGCGAGCCGCGAGCGTGGGGAAGAGGGGGGAAAGGAGCTGCAGCGGGAAAAAGCCTAGTGGGAGTGTGTCTGCCCCGGCCCTGCTGCTGCTTCGGAGTCTGGAAGGGGGAGATGGAGCACGTCAAGGAGTGGGCCTCGGGATGGCTGGGGTGGGCACTGTGTCAGGCTGCGCGTGTCTAGTTTAGGTTTTCTTGTGCCTCCAGTTCTGTGGTAATAAACCTTACATAAACCTAGCCGGAAGCACAGCATTAATATTTAAAAAATGACATTTAAGGTATTAAATATATGCTACGTTCCCCAGAATATCTATATGTGTGTGCGTGCGGTCACATGCTTGGGGCTTTGTTTTCCTTTTTATAGTGTATTGTTGCCTGCATATATTTTACTCGGGGTATTCTGTGCTATAATAAGAAGGGGGAGGGAGCGGGAAAATGCTGCTCTGTTTATATACACTGCTGTCAACAGCGATGCTGCATGTTTCAGATTTGCATCCTCAGTGAAGCACTCTGGATTCCAGGCAAACACCACCCTTCCCCCTTTATCCCGAGATCCTTCGGGAGGATTGCCTGAGCCTCTCCTCCCATATCCCTCTTGCCCTCTCCTGAAATTTGGCTCTGGTGAATGTGGCACACTCCGTACCCAGCATGCAACCAAGTTGATATGCGAAGGTTCAAAGGGACAACCTTGGAAAATGTCAGAGCGGTGTCTCTGCGCCGTTGTTCTGCTGCTCTGATCACAAAAGGGAGCTCTGAGCGAGTCAGGCTGGAATTTTCAGGCAGGGGGACAGGGGAAGGATGCAGCAGTGCCCCTCTCTCTGTATGTGTCTATGTCTCTCCTGAGCTTCTTTGAGACTTTTCCCAATGTCTGTCACCTTTGTGAGTCTTCGGAAACACTGATGCAGGGCTGAAATGGTACTGCTCACCCGTAGTTTTCATATATCTCAGGTCTAGCACATCTCCTTTCCCTCCTCCCTGAGTTTTTATGTGGTTAGGTTTTGTGGCAGCGGTGTTTTTCTGTCTCTTCTCCCTTGATTTCCACTCTCTCACCCAGCCCTGAAATAGTCAATGAATGTGTCCTTTCTTGTCTCTTGATACAGGCCTCGAGGGACAGTTCCTTCCTATCCATCTCCTGAATGCCATAAGAGCAGGTAGCTTGGGACATGCTGGAAAAGTGCTGGGTCTGAATCCGCCCTTTTGATATAAGTGGACATTATGCATTTTTAATAGACATAGAGTTCAGTGAAACCCTTAGTACTAGCTGAATTGGCACAAAATTCCCAGGCAAGTAGACTTTGGAGCTGATCTCTCCCTAGGTACCTTGCAGAAAATGAGACCAAGGACAAAAAAAAGGGCCATGTTCCCTTTGATTGCAAGAGCTGCCTTGTTTTGCAGAGGAGGTGGCTGAGAAGAAGCCAGCCCGGATGTGCGGTCTCTTTAGCTGTGCATGAAGGATTCTGGATTGGCAGTCCTTGTTCATCCTTCTTCATCCACAGAGTAGGTGCAGTTTGAGGGGAGAGGCTGTTAAGAAAGCGCCTTCCTTTGAGCATCACCCTCCGTGGAGGCATCATCTCCCTGGTTTGTCCAGTGCCGGCCCTGCCGGTCTCAGCAAAGCTCACTTCCACCCGAGGCAGAGGCCTGGGCCGCGCGTGGGGTTCTCCAGCTTGCTTCCCTTCAGGAGGGAAGAGTATGGGAGCTGCTCTCCGTGGCCCTGTGATGGTGCAGTTAGGATGTGTTGGTGTGTCTTGATGTTTGATAATTTGTGGGTGATGCTTTGACTTCCAAGCAACATAACAGACATCTCTGCTCCCAGGTACCCCTCAAGGTGCAAGTTAAAACCGGGGTCTGAACGCTGTAAGTTCAAAACAAAAAGCCCTGTGGAAACAGTGGGAATCACTGGTGAAGATCACTGAGACTGCTCCACAACGTGGACCTCGGCTCCCTGAGTACTGAAGCTTTTTACAGTAGCTGGAAGGTTGTGGGTTTAATTTGTCATTCTTTTTTTGGTAAAGCATAAGTAAATCTCCCTATACCTCCAGGTTACCATGGCACTGTAACCTTACCAGATCTGGAAGAGTGCGAGTAACAAGCTGTAGCTGTGGATCTGTGCCTGTCCACTGTGGAACGTGTAGCCAGGAAGAGATGGTGGTATGTGGAGGGAGTTGATCTGGTTGGAAGCAGGAGAGCAGGCGGCAGCGGCAGGTAACAGGTAACTTGCCCCCAACCTCAAGAGTGACTTTTGGCTCATGTTAAACTGTCCAGCTGCGAGCATGGCATTCGGAGACACACATACTGTGGTGTTCAGCCATCTCGGAGAAATCTGCTGCTGAGCATGAGTCAGCCCTGCCTGGGTTAACTATTAAAGGGCAGTATCAGGAGATGAGATCTTTACTCTGGTCCCCAGACCCTTCAAGCCCTGTGTCCTCCAGGGGGTCCCTGTGAAGGACGGGAGCATCCCTAGGGTCCTGCTTCATTGTTAGAGGTCACACAAGTGCCCTGTCTGCCCTCTGGCTTTGGTGTAATTGTCCCCAGATTAGGGGCAGCCCTAGTCCCACCCAGAGCCCCCTTCCCATGGGGGAAGCACGTTCCTGCTGCCCCGTGCCCAGTGCCAGGGTGGACGGGGGGGTACCTTGCTGTTTGGGTGGGGATGGCTGAGCGGGGCCGTGCAAAGACATGGTGTTAGATAGGAGTTGCACAAGATGTTACCCACTGCTGGCAAAGCCCAAGTGGACTCAGCCTGGGAGCCATCACTCCGGCATGGAGACATGCACGACGAGGAGTGGAGGGACCTTCCGCTGGAGAGTGCGTGCGGAAAGCGGAGCAGAGCTGAGCCTGCCTTCCCCAGAGGCTGGAGGGAACCTTGCTTCCCACCTAGCATAGGGTCAGTGCTTTCTCTCGGAGAGGTGCCGAGCCTCCTCACCGCAAGAGCCTTCCCTCACGCCCAGCCCTTCCTAGCCTCACACTTTCCGTTTGCCTGCTGGGCTGGGGGAGCATCTCCCCTAGCCTGTGGCTGTAAACTCGGTGGGTGATGCCGCGGAGTGAGGAGAGCAGGAACCAATTCCATAAGGGGCCATCTCAGAGCCTTCCCTGGCTTTTCCTCCCGTCGCAGGGAGAAGTGCCCCTGCCTAAGTGGAATAAATTGGTACAGACCATTAGCAGCGCAGGTCCTCCTCTGGCGGGGGGGGAAGGGGCTGTCGGCACTGCTCTGGATACAAAGCAGCCAGCCACGCTCAGGCTCCTTCCTCCCGCACCCCGCTGGCCTCCTCCTCCCTGTTTGCACGCTCCCTCCCTCTTTCACTCTCTTTCTTTCCCTTGACGCCACGCTGCAGAAAAGGAGACCTGGGGAACCGGAGGTCCACAGAGGCAGTGGAGGAGGAAGCATCTCTCCAATGCTGTTTCTTTGCGAGTGAAACGGCGAGGCAGAGAGGCGATGAAGGAGTGTCTTGCTTGCTGCCTGGATTAAGAAAGAATACATTTAAAAAAAAAAAAAAAATCCGGACTTAACAAACGAGGAAAAAAGGGAGGAGAGAAGGAGGAGGAGGAGGAGGAGGTTGCTGCGGGGAGCCCACTCTGGTGGGTGAAGAGCCGCTTTGAATCGTGCCTCTGTTCCCAGGGATTAAAGCATGAATGGGAGCAGCTTCCCAGCCACGATGGAGAGAGAAGGCGGCTCAGGCTGTGGGGATAAGGTAACTCTTGCCTCTTGCAGACATTGCATGGCTGAGCCGAGCAGGACAGAGATCCTTTATGCACAGGGCTGGGTGTGTGGATGTGTGGATGCAGCGGGCAGGGAGTGGGAGGAAGCAGCAAAGACTCAAAGCGATTTTGCTACCCCTCCCAGTGTCTGTAAAAAATGCAGAATGAGTCCCGGGGGCTGCAGTGCCGGAGATCACTTTGCCCCCCCTTTTTCAGGCTGGGTCCCTGAGGACACCCAAGCTGCTTTGCCTGGTGAAAGCTGCCTGGGTGATGGGGAAATACACCCGTGTCTCGCCTCCAGGAGCACTGTGCTCTCAGTCTTTGCCCTCCCAGACCTGCACTTGCTCGGGGGCTGTCCCCGTGGTCAGGCGTGTGGCTTTGGGGAACCCGAGTGGGGACGGCAATGGCCCCGCGCCCCCCCAGCCCGCCGGTGCATCTGTGCAGAAAGACGGGAGGGAGGTGAGAGACAACCAAGAGAGTTGCTTTTCTCTTCCCTTGGTCATCCTCTGCCTTTTCTTTGCAACAGAAAGGGATGGGATTTAGGAGGAGGGGGAAACTGAAATCCCTTTCATTCATGCCAGCAGTGGTGAGAGCCAACTTTGAGGCTGCTTAGAGGGAAAAGCTTTCTGAGTGCTGTCCTTTGGAGGAATTGGAGATGGCTGAGCGATGCTTTGCCATCTGAGGAGTGATCTCTGTGTTGTGTTATGTTGTGGGAGTGGGTGGGGATGAAAAAGGATGATTACAGGGGAGAAAGTCCACGGTGAGCAGTGAAGCTGTCTGCAAATGATGCTTTCCTTTTCTCTGCTGGGCCTCTCTCTGACTCAATTCTTGGGTCTCTGACCCTGAAAGTCCTAATTTCTCTGTCAGACCAGAAAGTGCAACTTCAAATAGTATTGGGAGGTGGCTTAGCCCAGATGTTTGGAAGAGCACAGAGGAGAACCTGGTGTATACAGCAGTGGAGCCCATATCCAGTTAATCCCAGCACGTAGAGGTCTTGGCTGGGCGGCCCTCGCTATGTTTGTCAGGATCTTGCTGCTGCAATATCCATTTTTTCTGTGCTGTCCATCGGATACCCACTCCTCCCCTTGCCTTCAGGGCCTTCTTTGTGGGTCCTGGCATGGGGTTAGGAAGCATTCGCTTTAGTGACTTAGATAACGATGTGTCACCGAAGTCCCCGCTTACGTGCACACAGTGCAGAAAGTCCTGAGCCCCAGTGTGCCAGGAACTGATGCGAGAGCTTGTACACACATCTAGGGAGCGTGTGGTCCAGTGTTAGGGACTGGAAGAGGCTGTGCAGTCTGTTGCACAGGTCTGTACATACTTGTGTAAGTAGTTGTTGTCCCTGAGTGAGGTGTCACCAACTTGTGGAAATGAGTGAGGTTGGGTGTGTTTGTCCGTGCACGTCAATATGGAAGAAGGGCTGTGTAAATGTACAGTGGAGCTTCAAGTCATTCTTTTGTTTCATGAGTAATCCTTGCTTATATGAGGAAATTCTCCGAACTCACCAAGATGCATCTTGCTTGCCTTGTTCATGTAATTAGCACTACTCTATACATAGACCTCCAGTGCGAATGAATTAACCAAGATTTGACTAAAAGCTGACACTGGTTGGGATTGCTTGACTTACCTGTCAGAGTTGGGTTCAAAAAGGTGTGGGAAAATGGAGGCGCTCAGAAGAGGGTAAAATATTTTCTTTTGGTACGTAGCACACTCTGTTTTCTGTGTCAGCTTCAAAGCATTGAGGAATATGGAAGATGTTCTGGTGAAAGAATTGAATAATTAGACAGTGAAGCAGAAGGCTGTTTCTCCCAGGAAGATTAATTCTGTGATAGGGGCCAGGAGCTTTGGAAATGGCCAAAGCCAGCAGGACAGTGGATGCTACTAGAACGGGAAGGTAGCTGACCAATAATTTTATTTTCCTGGTTGAATACGTATGGGGGTATGAAAGACAGAGGAAGAAAAATGAAATCAGTGATATTGACTCCGAGTACTTTCCCATTTCATGCACCCCCCGTAGGCATTCCTAGCGAAGCGCTCTCAGCTTCTCCGGCGGAGCACTGAGAACTCGGAGTCGTTAGCAACGCAGCAACAGCTTTAGTGAGACCTGGCTCCCTCCAAGCCGGGCTGACCCAGGGACCCGACTCTCATGTCGTTTTGATTCTCTAAGACAGCAAAGCAAGAGCGCATCCGTAAAGCTCTCCCTCCACATGCATGTGTCGGCAAGGAGGTGGGGAGAGCTTTCCCACCTGTTAGTTGGCATCCCAAAGTTTCCCGACCCATCAAGGTAGCTCAGTGGAGTGTGAATGCAAAGGGGGGGCGGCGCCCCAAACCTAGGAAGGGACTGTCACTTGTACGCATCACAGGCCTGACGCGGTGCGGCTGGGGTCAGGGCAGCGTCTCGCAGAGCTCCAGCCAACTGCAGCCGTGCCTGGATTTGCCATTTTTTCCTCCCTTGACCTGCAGTGTTATTCTGTGTCTTTCTGGTTTTTTGCTCTGCAGTTGTGCACTTTCTGAGGCAAGAACAGCAGCGAGTGCCTCCAGGACGCGGGGCCTTGTCGGTTTTTAGCACGCTCACCAATGCTGCATCTTTCTGGCAAACAGTTGCTGTAGCTGGGACCCCTGGCCTAAGCTGACCAAGAAATCTTCCAGTGACAAAGTGCGAGCACTTGTGCAAAGCTGGCTGCTCAGTGTCAAAATAATGCTTTCTTAAAGGAAAACAGTGCGTCTGCACTCTTCGTCTTTTCCAGCACCCTCATGTTGCAACAGCAGAAGCCTTGGGAAATGAAAATAACTGTCTTTTAAGAGACACTAGGGCAAATGTTGCAATTTGGGTGTTTTTGTTTCTTGGACAGTTGCCTTTTGCAGTGCTTTAGCGCTCTCTCTTGCTCTCGTTCTATTTCTACTAGCTCCAAAAAAAAAGTCATGCAAAAGCAGTTTTTTCTTCTTCAAACAAAACCCAGAGGGCAGGTATGAATCCACAGGCAGACAGGGTATGGTCCTTCCTTGCACCACTGTGCATTTTGCCTTGTAGGGATGAGCAGTGTCAGAGGCTGCCTGGCTTCCAAGGGCTGCACCTCTGACTTCTGGGAACGCATCAGGCCTTGCTCAGCCTCTTCCTCTGTGGGTGATGCCCTCTGTGGCTTTCTCACCCTTTGCTTTTTTTTCTGTAGCCCTCCATTGCATGCAGTAGCCTTGAAAAGTTAGGGGGGCTGTAGCTGTAAGTCTTGTTTGGGGGTATGGCTGGAGGTGCCTTTGGTGTGGCTTCAAGCCACCCGAAGCCAAAGCATCTTCTGGAAGCGATGTCATCGGAATAGCCTTCTGCAGTGTCTTTTTCATGGGTCCTTGTCCTCTGTAATATGTTGTCATTTATGTTTTGCTTGTGGAGATCCTGAACTGGTTATCTACCGGTGTTCTCCTCTGATGGCAAGAGAAGTGATCTTTGCCAAGCACAAGGTCTGCAGAGTGAGAATAGATTCTCCCTTTTTCTCCTGCGAGCCCTAACTATTGGTGTTTGGGTTGGCAAGTTGACATCAGGGCTGGATTCACCTTCAGAAGCTAATGAGGGCTTTGCTAAGTGGAGATCCCAGGGTGTGGCCCATCATCAATCTTCATATCCCGATCTAGACACATGGACCACCCCCAGGTGCTCCAAGTAATACAGCCTATTAGTCACTATTGAATAGATCCTCCTACATTTTTTTAATGGGAACCCCACGCCTCCAGGGAACTGGGGCACTGAGAGATTGAGGAAATAACTGAGAACAATTCACTGTGCTGGGGAGCAGATCCCAGTCTCTTGCAGTGATAATGACTTTGTCCCACAAATTCAGCCAGTTTAGTCCTCCTCCTGTTCTTGACCCTCTCCGTCTGTGGACCCCTTAGCTGTGCCAGGTGGCCCTTTCCGAAGCATGTTGTTCACAGGCTCATAAAATGACTCCTGCACAGCGAGATACCTCATGGGCTGTCCTGGAGCACGCTTGCACAGCTCTGCACACCTACGTTTTCCATCCTGGCCCGTGTGTAGAAGTGTGTTCTTCCCCTTGTGCAGCCGTGTGCAGGCGCACACGTACTCTGTGTTTCTGTCTGAGAAATGCCCTGTAAAGCCCAAGTACCACAGAGCCTTTAAGCACTTTTCCAACTGCAACAGTATCTCAGAGATCCTTCCAGCTATCCTGTCCATATAAGCTATGGGGAACACGGTGTGACATGCTTGGCACTGACAGCAGAATAAATAGGAAATGCTCAAGATTCCCCTCCTGCCTGCATCTGAGTTGTTTTCCTAAAGACAGGACAAGGGCTAAGCTTCTGTACAAGGTTTCCTGCGCTTCTTGGGCTGTTCTTTAAGAGCAGGTGATGTATTAGCTCTCAAAGGGTGTGTTAATGCACTGGACACTGCTGGCCTGGCTCCAGCCTGTACACTGCCCTGGAATGTTATTTATTGTTAGTTCCTCAGATGTGGTTTGATACTCTAGAGTCCTTGGTGCTGTGAACATCTTGGCCCTGCACTGGAGCACAGCACGTAAGTAAACAGGATGGATGGAGAAAATACTGCATATTTGGGTTTGATGGAAGCATAGCCAGATGCTGACAAGGGAAAGGTGATGGGCCTGTGATCACATAGGGCGTCCCCTGGCAAAGAAGAGAGAACCCAGTGAAGAAATTCTGCCAGTTAGAATGGGACAGTCTTCAGAAAGGCATTAACCCATCTCTGAAACCTCTGGGGAGGGGATTTACATCTTCACATCATGACTGAGAATTCTCTCTGTTCAGCTCGGGGCTTTTGCAAAGACACATGTGCACTGCAGAGCCCACGGAAGGGATGTCCACTGATCCCCAGGTTCCTCCCACAGTGGCTGCTGGAGACTGGTAATCCTCTCTGAAACAGCAGCAGCTGGTGCCCTGCTAATGCAATGTGGAAAGTAGAGTTTAGACTCTCTCCTTCCATTCCTGCCTTGCGCATTCTAGACTGGTGGGCTGGGTTGTCAGAAAAATT